ACAATGATATAGGAAACACAGAGTAAAGACAGACAGACTTTCTGTGTGTGGTAGAATTGGTTTCGACACTGACCAGAGCAAGTGGAGCATGAAAAGCGACCCAGGAAAGACAAGACACCATGGGACGTCACTGTGCTCCACAAAGAAAGCCAACCATGAGGATTTCACAGCCTATACTGGCCTCTTATTGAGCCTTCCCACAGAAATTAGAAGCTCCTCCCATCCCCATTGATAATCATTTATTTTGTTTGCATTGGCTCAAAGAGAGTCTAGTTGAAAGAACAGTGCCTCAGGATATGCACTTTGAGGCAGTAAATTATGGAAGGGAGAGCATTTAATGTTCCTATCACACATGTTCTTTTGCCATTTAAATTGGTCTCCTCAGATTCAGGGTAGGACAGATTCAGGTTGAAAAACAGACTCTCCTCTGTTGTGTCTTATTTTGCCCTGGGACCATATTGTCCCAAAGTTCTGGGAAGGGGGTCAGATGATGCACCTTCCCTTTGAAGATTTCACTAAATAGCCCCCAGTGCTGTGCTGCCACAGACAGTCACCTATACTGTCTAGCATGCTGGATGTCTAGCATGGAAATGTGACCATGAGGTAGAATCATAGAACTGTAGAGTTGGAAAGAGCCACGAGGGTCATCTAGTCCAAGACGCTGCAATGCAGCAATTCCCCCCCCCCCCAATGTGGGGCTCGAACACACAACCCTGAGATTAAGAGCCTCATGCTCTGCCAACTGAGCTATCCCAATGTTTAAGATTAGATTCATAAATTTGCTCCTGCAAATCTGAATTTTCAGCAACAGTATTGCATTGCATGTTAGTCTGTGACGGAGAAGTTACCACAGATATAGGACTGTGGATTAGCTATATCAAATGAAAGAAGGGTGGTAGGAATGTAATGTATATCCACAAAAAACCAGCTGTGCCAATGGGAACTGACATTTCCTTCACTAAGTGATTTTCATAGGACCCATAATTTGTTATGTAAGGGACTTTCTTAAGAAAGAATGCGGACAAAATATGTTTGCCATATTATAATAAAGGCAGTTGTTTCAAAGTTGCTTAAGGGTTCAAAGTAAAACTAATCTTCTAGAGAAGGATTAGAGGACAACATGCTTTTGAGAGGTGTAAAATGATTGGATAAATCTAAAAGAAAAATGGTTCTGCAGACTCACCTTACTCTGAAATTTCATTACATGGTAATAAAACATGATTGAATTCTGTGGTTTGCATGCAGTAATATAAACATAACACATGGGGAGGAAAAGATTCGGGCCTTTTCAGAAGATTAAAAATGTTTTTGTCTGCAATGTGTGTCTGCTGGCTCTTACAACAGATGCCAATGTACCATATTACAAAAGCAGTGAACATGACAACAAATTGGCAGTGTTTACTTGGGAGTAAGCAACATATAGTTAAATGGTGATTACTCCCAAGAAAGTGTGCATGGGACTGGTGACTAAGATTCATTATTTCTATTTCAGAGCATAGGAGAAAAATGGAGTTGGGCTACAGTAAACGGTTTTTCTTCATCAGGCCATCTATCAATCACTGTGAAAGAATATTCAAAGTCTGAGCTAATGGTCCTTAGCAAACAGGAAGAATGCAGCTTTCATCATACATATGAAGATACATTGAGTTGGTCTACTATGTTCTACTCAGAGTACTCACTGAAATTAATGTACCTAAGTCAGTCATCTTTATTCATTTCAATGAATTAATTAATTCCAAGTATGACTAACATGGGCTGCAACCTAACTCACTTATGGACACTATTGGGGCACTTCCCTGTCCCCTAAAACACTCAAGTTTCAAGTATGAACACTAGAAACCAATTAGACAGAAATTCTCCACACACTCTAACATCTAGAAAGTCAAGTGAAGACATCCTTGAAACATACATGAAAGAAGGAGCTGTCCTCTTCACATGCCTGAACCAGACCCAGATTGGAATGGGGGTGGGTGGGAATGTCAGAAAACAATATAAAATCTTTATATGCAGAATGCAAACTTACTAGTATTATAAATGCACTGAAATAAAAATGCATGTCTTTGTGTCTTTGTAAAACGATGCCAACAGTATGTCTGCTTAAAACTCCAAACTCATGATGCACTAACATTCTCTCTAATGGTTTGACTTTTGCTGCTAGTGCTCACATTTCCTCTCTTTCTAGTGGTTTCACTTCCATTGCTTATGTTTACTAAACTGGTGTGTGAGTGGGAAGCCTGTGGTCTCTTGATATACTGGGCCACAACTCCCACATTCTCTAATTATTGGTTATGCTGACTGAGGCTCATAGAAGTTGGAGTCCGGGGCCATAGTTTCCCCGCCCCTGATGCAACTAAGCAATGGATTACCATGTGCATGAATGATGGCATTTATGAGAACAGTCAGCAGGGAATGGTGGTGGCCTCACAAGGCCTCGATCCTGGCCAATTGCTGGTTAACTCAATCACCTCCAAAAAGAGACAGCTATAGCTATACCTGGAAACCCACCATTTTGTATCCCACCCTCCCAAGGAGCTGCTACGGTAAAAAAAGGGAAGCCGAAAGAGAGGTTGACGTGCCTAGCTCTGACCACAACAGCAACAACTGCAACTTACCTCAGACAAAAGGGAAGACACTGAGGAAGCTATTGAGAGAAAGGGGAAAAGGAAAGCAGTTTCAGGGGAGAGCTATAAAGCGGTGACAGAGCAAGAAGTATTGGGGTCTAGAAAGAAACAACAGAGCTGGGAATGGGAGAAAGAATCAAAGAAAGAAAGCCACGGAATTGGGGTGCAGGAGAAGATGTAAGTATGGTGGGGTGGGAACGGAGTGTTTCTGAATACCAATCTCTGGGGAACACAAGTGGGAGAGTGCTACTGTGCTCATGTGCTGGTTATGGGCTACCATTATGTATCTGGCTGGCCACTGTGTGAACTGAATAGGCTCTGCAAAGCCTACATACTCTGCATGCCCACAGCAGGTATGGTAAACTTAATGCACACAAAACAGCAGCCATTTTGAATTAAGATGGATGACACTATACCATGTTTGTATCATGCTTGTGGTCTGATCCAGCAACCCTCTTCTTAACATCTTTACTACAGGTTTTAAAGGTCCCTGATGGTGTTTCATCTACCCTCCTCACAAACCTTTTGAGCTACAATATTTTTCAGTCCTTATTAAGTACACAGTTAAATTTCAGCATTTTCATCTGATTCCCTTATTGTTGTTAATGTAAAAAATGCTCATTTAACAAATCTCGCTTTATAAATAATCATATCCTACATGGATTTTCACTCCCAATGAGCAGGTTGCAATGATAAACTAGTATTTATTCAACATACAGTATAATTTTCACATTACACTCAAATTAGATGCATATTTAAGACCTTTAATTTTAAGGAACAGCTGACGCCTGGTGCAAAAAAGGGGGGGGGAAACACACCGAAAAATAGGGAGGGGGCCACAGGCTGCTGAAAACCAGTTAATTCCACATGCCATATTTTCTGGGCTTTATGCAATTTTTAATTATGACGAATATTTGCATAAAAGCAGGAACTTTATTAATAATTCATTTCCCACCTGAACACTGTAATGTCACTGTATTGGGAGGAAATAAATTATAATATAACACAGGTGACATGATAAGCAAGATAAACAACTGATGCTTAAAATAAGTAACTCTGATTAGAAGGGGGGAAAGGAAAATTAGAGGGGAGAAGTGTATCTTTCTATAGTTCATGCTATTTAAAGCACAAAAATTGCACAACCGGCAGCACAGTCCCATGCATATTAATCCAGAATTGATTCCCGCTATGATCAGTGGAGCTTATTCACAAGTAAAGGTGCATAAGATTGCAGGCTGAAAACAGGGTACCGTATTTTTCGCTCTATAGGACGCACCAGACCACAAGACGCACCTAGTTTTTGGAGGAGGAAAACAAGAAAAAAATAATTCTGAATCTCAGAAGCCAGAACAGCAAGAGGGATCGCTACACAGGGAAAAGCAGCAATCCCTCTTGCTGTTCTGGCTTCTGGGATAGCTGTGCAGGCTGCATTCGCTCCATAAGACGCACACACATTTCCCCTTACTTTTTAGGAGGGAAAAAGTGAGTCTTATAGAGCAAAAAATACGGTAGTTTACACTGGTGGTGGGGGAGATACAATTTAGCTATGATAACTATAAAACAATGAACAGCAATGTAGGAAAATTCAAGTAGCATAAAGCCCATAAAAGAATAAAAAGTTTGGCAAAATAAAAAGATCTTTGCCAGAATGATAGCAAAGTGGGTACCAAGCAAGATGCTCTGAGGAGAATGTTTTAAAATTGTAGTTTGACAACTAAGAAGACTCTCTCCATGGTAGCTCCCTGCCTTACCTGAGATATGGAAGGGGGCACACATAGAAATCCCTCTATTGAATTTCTTAAGAGTATGGGAAGGTATGTATGGAGATAGGCAGTCCTTCAAGTGCCCTGTTTCTAAGCTGTGATGGTCAAAAACTGTTGCTCTGAATTGAGTCCAGAAGCAGACCAGGAGCTACAGATGCAGCACAGACACAATACGACCATAGTGACTAGTTTCAGTAATCTGGCAGCCATATACTGAAGTAATTCCAGTTTCCAAACCTTTGAAGACACTCCCATTGTGTCAGAATTCTAGACTAACCCGAAAGTTCCTAGCGATATCACTCATAGCTTCAGAAACCCTTTCTCCAAGTGGGATACCTTCCTGACAAGGTCCCAGATGAATACAGAGAAATCTGTGGGGAGATCTTGGCTACAGCTTCCCCAGTTGCAGTGGGCAGCATTTCGTAGGAAGATTCGGCTACTGCCTTAACTCTGATTTAAAGAGCACTTTATCTAGGAGTGTAAACAAGTTATATTCCCAAAATTGCTTCTGTAGTTGGTCATCCTCATTTCCATGTAATAGCTCTCCAAATGCAACATGTTAGCAAGTTCCTTAAATGATTTTTTACTCGGCTCTTCATGTAATTTCACTTCTTACCTTTAAAGAAAACAAAATTCCCATCGCTGTTTTCATAAACTGCATCAATACTTGGCGGCAGCCCCCTCCAGAAGTAGGTAATCTGCATGGGGTATCCATCCATCACTCGGTTGTTTCTGACACGCCAAAACCACTGATCCTGGAAACAAACAAATGTACCTATTATAACATTTGAAGGCACCGCTGTTTCAAAGATACAGAATGTTACTTAGCCTTACCTGTGGACAACTATTTTTAAAATATATTTCTGTATTTCAGCATGTGTTTTAATCAGCACTGGCCTATTAAATGCAGTGGAGAACTCAGGAATGCACTGGTGCCCCCGTGGCAGCACCAGATTGGCTCTGCCACTGTGTCTGTACAGCCCAAACATTGCCTCGCCCACCACCCACATTTCAGTAAGCAGCATTGCCACTGCTAAGAAGCTCTATATAAAGGTAAAGGGACCCCTGACCATTAGGTCCCGTTGTGGCCAACTCTGGGGTTGCGGCACCCATCTCGCTTTATTGGCCGAGGGAGCCAGCGTACAGCTTCCGGGTCATGTGGCCAGCATGACTAAGCCACTTCTGGCGAACCAAAGTAGCACACGAAAACGCCGTTTACCTTCCCGCCGGAGCGGTACCTATTTATCTATTTGCACTTTGATGTGCTTTCGAACTGCTAGGTGGGCAGGAGCTGGGGCCGAGCAACGGGAGCTCACCCCGTCACGGGGATTCGAACCGCCGACCTTCTGATCGGCAAGTCCTAGGCTCTGTGATTTAACCCACAGCGCCACCCGCGTCCCAACCTTTATATAGACATGTCTATATTAAAGGTAAAGGTAAAGGTACCCCTGCCCGTTCGGGCCAGTCTTGCCAGACTCTAGGGTTGTGCGCTCATCTAACTCTATAGGCCGGGAGCCAGCGCTGTCCGCAGACACTTCCGGGTCACATGGCCAGCGTGACAAGCTGCAGCACACGGAATGCCATTTACCTTCCCGCTGGTAAGCGGTCCCTATTTATCTACTTGCACCCGGAGGTGCTTTCGAACTGCTAGGTTGGCAGGCGCTGGGACCGAACGACGGGAGCGCATCCCGCCGCGGGGATTTGAACCGCCGACCATGTGACCGGCAAGTCGTAGGCACTGAGGTTTTACCCACAGCGCCACCCGCGTCCATGTCTATATTACATAGTGTCTAATCATGGCAATCCTAGGAATAAGCCATATGCCCCCCTTCATTTTTTAAAAAGGTGGATGGTACATCAAGACTGGCATCAGAAATACACTGTTTTCCATGCATACATTTTTGAAGGTTATTTAAACAAAATGCCTCCGCTTAAGGTCCAAATTGAACCTACGGAAACACACAACGCTAAATAAGGATAGTGAGCAAAAAAGGTATGCTGGCTGAGAGTTGTATTCCAAAACAATGGGAGGGCACCAGGTTGGTGAAGATTAGTCTGGGAGAAAGATGGTCTAAGAGAACACACTACAAGTTGCCGTAATATGTTAATATCCCTTGAATGAATGGCCATTGTTGACCTGATGTTTTCATAAAACAACCCTCATGCCAACTACAGTGTTAATGGGGAAACTGCCATAGTGTCATCAGTTGTTTTCCTCTTTTTTTCTTTCTTCAAAGTTTTTGGGGAAACAATGTATACATGTGTACAGGTATTAGAGGTTACCGTGTGTACACACACACACACACACACACACATACATACATCTTGTCTTTTAGCATTGTTACTCTGTCTGAGGTGAAAACAAAGAAGTCATCACTATCCTCAAGTGAAAGTCAGGTGGTTCTTCAGCATTTTTTCACTGCTTTTGAAAAACAGGTGTGTTTGTTAAATTGCGAAGCAGCATCAACACTAAAGCAGTTCATCTTTGTAAGTGAGAAAAGAAAAAAGAAAAAAAAGAACACTATTTGGTTGCTTATCTTCCAGGATTTACAGTACTACGTTAAATACAGCTATAATTATACAACTGGAAGACAATTTTCTTCTTCTACATGGCTGTTCTTTCCTTAGTCTTTAATGGATTACTGCTATTTACCTAATGTATTTCTCCTTCCTAAATGACTTTAGCTCTTTTATTAGTGCTTTAATTTATACAAACAAAGGCAATCTTCCAGGCTCAAGTCTTCCTTGAGGCCAGCCAACTGCTCTGCTCCTTCATCCTAAACATATGGGTAAATTTCAGCAGCGTAGGAAAAAAATACGTGACACATCTTCAGATGCCCTTTTTCTTATTTATTTCACAAATCCAAGATTCAGCACAAGTGCTAAGAATAATCACTAGTAACCTGACACAAATTAAACTGAAGCCCTGAAATATTGTACTGCACATGCCTTCCTCTCTGCAAAAGGTTCCTGCATTTTCCGAGACTGGTTGCTCATGGCACAAAGAACACTGCTGCATACAAAGCCAGCCCACTGGTCCATCTAGATCAGGGATAGGAGATCCTTTTCTCTGCATTTCCTTGTGGCCAGCCTTCCACATGATGGTGATGAGAATGGACAAAGCTGGCAGTGTGTGGGATCACCCCACACTTTCTCATGCATGTGCACACACACACAAGCCCATTTGCCACTGCTCATCTGTTTCCGAATCAGCTGGGCAACAGGTGTAAGAGATCACTAGGAGCAGCTGCTTAGAACTTCCCTCCCTGTGATCTGTCCCCTCTCAGGAGACCAGGAAGCAGATTAGCAGTAGTGAAGAGTGAGCTTTTCCTTTTCGAACCAATCCAGGCACCTTGAAGTGTTGGCTCTCAACACCTTGCAGTTCACCTTTCCCAACACAGGGAGCTCGTGATCATGTTTGCAATGATCCACCCATATCTCCTTTCTGCTGCTACATGAAGTGGGAGTTCCCAATGGGAGCATTTTTGTGATCATGTATGGACTGCTGCTGAAGAGGGACGGCACTCAGGAGATGTTGGCCGGCTGGTTCAAACAGTTGTGCAGACCAAATCTAGCCCATGGGATGTTGGTTCTCTAGTCCAATCTACACTAACTATCAGTGGCTCTCCAGGATTTCACACCGAAGTATTTCCTGATCCAGCCTGAAGGTTTCTACTCCCATGCCTCTGGGAACTTCAGAAAGTCACTGCGGTGCTATCTGCAGCAAGCACCTCAAATACTGATATATCTGCTGATTTTTTGAGGACCTTTCCCTAATATACACATTTATGTAGGCTATTTTCATTAAGTATTTGCAGTTTTATGCACACTTTCTTCTAATAAATACATTTTTGTACAGTTTTTTTGGTTTCATTGAGGGAAAGGATATCAGTGGTTACCTGCCACAATGGCTATGCTGTACCTCAAATTTTGGAGGGAATATGCCTCTGAATATCAGTTGTTGGGAATCACAAATGGAGGGAGTGCTGTTGCATTTGTGTCCTGTTTGCAGTGTTCCCATAGGCATCTGGTTGGTCACTGTTAGAACAGGATGCTAGACTAGACTGGCCTTCCAGAGCCACCTTCAGTTCTTATGAAGCCAAATAAGTCAGATAAACTTTATGGTGTCTGGGTGTGAAAGATGCTCTAGTTAGCGGTGAGTATAAAGTTAACAAAACTCTGTTGAGGACTTCTTTCTTGGGGGAAGATTGCTAGTATGAAAACTTGACATAATCAGAAATCCTGAAAATCTCAAAAGAGTTTTGTTCAATTTTTATCCATTGCTAACTAAAGCATATCTCTTATGTCCACATCATAAAGTTTATGTGGCTTGTTAGGCTACCCTTTTCTACTTTGAGCCACTCCGGGCTGAAAGATCTACTGCAGCACTTAAGGGGGGACAGTAAAGCAATTTTTAGGATTAATTGCTCAACTTCAAAGATGAAGAAAAAAGGCAAACAGAAAAATTAAATTCTCTCTTTGGGAAACAGATCTCTAGAAATGCCTAACCGAAACGAATTTCTCAAATCACAGATGTCAACCACCCAAAATTTTATTTAAGGGCAAAAGATGAGGCCAGGGAATAAAGTTAAGGGAAGGCCTGTTCAAAATGGGCATTAGGAAGCACATTTTCACTCAGACACTAACAAATGCCTAGAACAGTTTGCAGAGGAAGTTTCTGAGGTGTCATCAATCAAAGGGGGACTAGATGCTGCTCTGGGAAAAATGACGCAGTGGTAAGTCTCACAGGGCAAATTCCTTTTTGTCATCCCTAAAGATTAGGTTTGGTGCTGTTATTTCCTTTCCTCCTTTTTTCTCTCTTACACAAAGTTCATTTATATTTAATATGGCATGAAAACATGCAAGCCAGAAACAGATTGCTGTTGAAAAGGATTGATATTTATTTCTACCTCCATTAGACCACAATTTTCTTCCATAGCCTTCTGATCTTTAACTCAAGAAGCAAGGCAGTTCACAATACTCAGTTGAATTTCACATTCATAAAAGAGATGTTGAAAATGCTGTTTTCTCCCTACTGAAAGATTGATGTCTTCAGTTTATATATGAACAGTTGAGATTTTTTTGAAGGAAGCAGTGCTTTATTACAGAGAGTTTTTACACCCTATCCCAGTGGCGTAGCGTGGGTTGTCAGCACCCGGGGCAAGGCAAGTAATTTGCGCCCCCTAACCCGTGGATTTGCGCCCCCTAACCCGTGGATTTGCGCCCCCTAACCTGTGGATTTGCCCTAACCCCAGATGTTGCGCCCGGTGCGGCAGGCCCCCCTGCACCCCCCACGCTACGCCACTGCCCTATCCTAACTACAGATCAGAGGACAGGGCAACTTACAACACAGCATACAATATGGACGGTGAGATGACATATAAAGTGAAATGAAATGAAATAACGCATCCATTATAAAAACAAGAACAATAAGCCTCAACTGCAATCAATATCAACATATGCATGAGGTAGCTTTAAAAAAATAAATACCCAGTAGTCAAAGAAGGAAGTGGGGAAAGGGAGCAATGGATGAGAATATGACAGAATGTATGGCTGGAGAATATCAGTAACATTCTCTTTGTGAATGAAGGTGTAGATACAAAATCAGATAACAAGGAATTGTAGAAAAATCAAAGTATGAGCTTTTCTTTTACATGAAAGCCCATATATCAGGACTGCACAACTTTATGAAGTAGTTAGTTATGTTAAATAGTTCCCAAACAGAGAAATAACTAAGATCACTAAAACAAGTTGT